ATGTATGTATTGATTTTACAATGATGTGTGTTTTTATTTTTGTGTAAGTCATCACGGTTAGGGACAGTGCAGCAACACTGGATTTCTCATGTGGCGATTTTCTTATTTTGTAGTAATTCAAAAATGAATAACTGTAGGTACTTGAAATTGACACTATTTGTTTATTTTATCAATACATTAACATGATAAAATTTTCAAAATATTTTGACTCGATTTGACTCTTATTTTCAATTTTAATTTTTAAAAAAATTTTTTTTCATAAATGTCAATAAAATTTTATTTGTTGGGTCAAAATGGGGGGAAATTTAATACAAAGCTTCTAACATATTGTTACAATATGAAAAAATTAAAAATTAAATAATGAAAAATATTAAAAATACATTGGCCATACATCAAACCTTTTTGTTTTATAATCATTTAAAGTTCGATGTTGACAACATTTCTCAAATTGAATATTGTAAAATGAATTTATAGTTGAAATGTATTAAATGTTCAACTTTTATAGTTAAGGATTGAAAATTTTAATCAAAATTCTAAGTAAGTAGTTAATTCTGTAACCAAAAAATCTAAAAATAAACATAAGCACAGCTTTTTTTATAGTTATTATAACTTCAAATTTAGACGAAATTACATATCAACACAAATAATAACGATTTTAGTCGTTTTGTTGTAATTTGGTTCCAAAACAACCTAATTTTACATAAGTTTATTATTATATTCTAGCAAAACTGATCATTTAAGAATAATATAAATTCAACTTACCGGCTACGGTATTAATAATAAGTAATAACAATATAAAATATCCTAGATTGATAAAAAAACTATTTAAGTCTAAGGTTAAACAAATTATATTTCAAAAACGCAATTACTTAAATAATTACCAGGAATGTTTTTTAACTTTTTTAAACTTTTTTTTACACTAATTAATTTATTGTAATGTTTTGTCATTACGTATGTTGTTATTGCTTGGTTTTGTAGTAGGTATTTAAATAATTAAACTTGTCTCTGCTATAATATTTATGTTAGAAGACCCCCCTCCCCTCACCACAAGATTGCTTAAAGAGAGGGGGTAATCAACTCTTGTATATACTGTTTAAATGTTAAAATTGTTATATTTTATTACCTTGATGAGTTAAAAAAAATAAATAAACACTTGAGACAGACAACGTTATGGTCCGCATCATCTATTATTGAATATTATATTATTGTTGTGTTATTTTTTTGATTTGGAGCTAGGTGGTGTAATCCTGCAAGGCATCTAGATGAATAATATTTGTTGAGTTTAATTTTATCTCTAAAAGGTTCCAAAAATACTGTAGATTATTAAATTGCAAATAGATAATTCAGATTTCAGACTTTTTTTAAGTTGTATAAATATTTCATTAGTAAAAAGAAGGGAGGAGGGCTTTAAAAAATACGGCCTTTGATTTATATTGATTTTTTTGGTTTATTACTGTAACGCTGGTTATTAGCTACACTGTCGATACAGATGAAGTCTAGTCACGCCTATAGTGATGGGTTAGTAAATAGACTTAGACGATTTAAAAAAAATTAACAATTACTTTTGGTTTATCAATATCAATAATTTATAAAAATGATCCGTACAACAAATACTACACCTAACGTTACTTATAGAATTTAATATTTATTATTATGAAACCATTTTTAAGGATTATAATCCTATGTATAAGCATTTTAATAACTCAGAAACTACTCATTAGAATTTTGATTAGATTTTAAATGCAACAACATTTTCAAAAAAATCATTGGCCAAATAATTTTCAGCATAAAAGGGGGGACTTTCATTTGAATAATAGAAGTTTGTATCTCCACAGAATACTCCTTAAGTAGTACTAAAAATAACAGAAATTTGAAAATATTGTCTTTAGGTCTACTTAAACAGTCTAAAAATCAGAATTTGAATAAATGTTGTATTAAAAGAAAAATGAGGGTGAGCATGATTAAAAATCACCCTGTGTACCTAATTATTTTAAAATGTATAAAATTCTTTTAAAAAACAGTTCAAGTTTTCGAATCGTTATTGCTGATAGGGAAATATGTGTACCAATAAGAATAAACGATTTTAAATGTTCGAAATATCATAGTTTAAAAAGTAGTGCTGTGTGTTAACTTGGTACAAAACTCAAGCAATTTTCTATTGTCTTGTGTACAGCAGTTTTAAATTTTCTTATCTACCTAGGTCCTTGGTAGACCCACACACCTATCTTTAATTATTATATGGGTAAATATAATAGTTGGTAGGTGCATGCCCAGGTACCTATAGCCTATGTAAATCGTACTTATATGTAATAAATTATAATGCATTATTACAAATTGTACACTATTTTGTATGAATTACAGACGCGTACACAAAACAATTACTTAGCGAAATATTTTAGTCTTTAGGTTATACACTTTCCCATTTTTACTCTATACAAATATATTTAATAATTTCCTGAAATTTTGGGGTGATGGTAAGCCCCTAACACTATGCTCACTCCCCCTAGTGTACGCGCCTGATTTCTTACAGGGGCACCAGTCTACCAGGCTACCTATTACATATCTGTGGACTATGGGTACCTAATATGCACGTTCGCCCTTCGCCAAACTATTTACTTTACAGTTCGCCAAATTAGTCGATTTAGTAGTAAATAAATCGTTTATTTATTACATGTTTAGTTACACACTTGCACATGTTTGAAAGGTAAGTTAGATTAAAAATGTTATTAATAATTAGGTAAGGATTTTAATTTTCATAACTTCAAATGAAAATAAATTAATATACCCACTCTATGTTTGTTGCCAACTGCATGGCGCACTCATCTTTGTGTTCAACTGATACCATAGAATCTCTATCTGTGTTCCATGATGTAGAGTAGATAGATATGAATACCTAGAGAGTAGAGAGCCTTAGTATTAATAATTAATAGCCTTAATATTTATGTTTGCCTTATTATTAAGGCTCTCTACGAATACCTATATGATTAATATAACAAATAATGATATAAACTCGCTGCTTGGTTTATTACTATGAAAGTATGAAATATATCGACAAAATACAACGTGAGCCATACTTATTTTGTTGGCAAACTTTAAAGTCAGTTTATTTTGTTCATTATATATATTGGTTATGTGTTCCCATTTAATGAAACCATTGTTTGACTACAAGATATGATTATTCCCTAAAATATTTCTAGCTAGTTTTAGCATATAACATGCATCTGGGATGTAATATACTCTGGTATTGTCAATGAATTGGATGATTAAACCAGCACTGTATTTCATCATAGTCATCACCAATTTTACAACCAAGAATCTTCATAGTAGACAAGTTGGAATATGCACCATCACATGTTACTCCCCAAACTTTCAATCCTAATTTATGTGCATGATTTAAAGCAGCTTGTACCGTAGCTGTTATTTTACTTTGCAAGACATACCCAACTGTCAATTTCCATGTACCATTTAGACTTACAAGCCTGAATATTTAAGCTTCAGTTGCTGCAGTGTTAGATCCTTCAATTTCTAAAGCATTTCCCATATTGCAATTCCCAATAAATTTTCCAATTTTTTCATCCCAAAGTCCTTGTTTTTTAATCGACATGGCATCAAACATTTAAAACATTGTTTATCATCAGTACTTAAAGTGCTTAACACTTTAAAAACTTCAGAAAAAAATCCAGATTCGCCATTTACCGTGGAAGTCCAATTTCGAACTGACTTTGGGCTAAGCAATTTTAAAATTGATTTGTGAAACCACTAGTGTACACATATCAGGGAATACTTTGGATGTATTTAGAAATTAAGGAAAAATATGGAGTATATGGAAGTACACGGAAGTACCAAAATGAAATAATTATTTAACTATAATACCTCAGTAGAATATATAATTATATTATAAATATTTAATAGGTAGGTTTTAGATGTAGTTGTATTGTTATGGAATTTTTATTTAGAAGTATTAGTATACATTTTAAAACAGTATGGTACAATAAGCAACACTATACGTATTATTACCTAGAGTAATATGAAATATTAATATATTAATTTGGGAGATAATTCATAAATGATAAATTGCAGAGACGGACTATGTTTTTGAAAACTAATAATATATAATATTCTTTATTACGGAAATCAACTTCATTTACAATAATATTCACAATTACAGTATAATACATAATTAATAAGCAACATATGCTACAATAATTTTTAAAAAAAATAACACTAAATAGTAATAAATTTAGTAAAAAAAAAAATATTTGTTCAAATCTGATAAAGATACATTTTGATGAATATTGTTGTAATGTATTTTTAGTATTGTAGTACTTGTAAACTAAGAAATTGAATAGTGGTTTACTCTCCTGGTAAACATAATAATAAAAACAACATTAAATCAAATTAATTATTAAAAAAACGATTTTTGTATAATTTAAATACAGAGTTGAAAACAGCCAGTTAATAGGATAAGCAAATTTAAAGCACTATTAAAATCAATCAAAAAAATAATTTTTAATTTTCTAACAGACATATCAAAAACATAATATTTATATAAGTGTTCTTAAATCAACTAGTGTTATGAAATAAAGCAATAAAACAAAAACTAGGATAGAATAAAGGATAACTGTGTTAAAATGATCAAAGTTCCATTCAATAAAAAAAAATATTAAGCTTTTAGATACCTACAATAAGCAAGCGCTTTAGGTAAATAGTAATTGACAGTCAAAGCAAATTCTTTAATTTCTTTACTTGATCGCATACCAGTAGATTTCCTTCATTAATTAATCAACTGGTTTTGAAATGGTTGTTCGGATAGTCCATCAAATTTATCAGACAAGTTATCTAAACAATTTGCATCCATAAAGATCAATAATTATTTTATTAATAAAATGAAACTATAAAAAATTACATTTAACGCTAGAATCGATAATTCCATTTTTTTTCATACTTCCTCTTAAATCTGTAAGGTTCTTAATTACAATATTTTTATGGCTAACTGTTTGTGGTAATAAATGAATTTTGCGATACAGAGCTTTCTCTCTAGGAGTATCTGGTAATTTTTGTTTTGAAGTTGCCGAACATCGCAGTACTCTTATACTTTTGAAGGAGTCTTATGAAGTTGAACACTAGACGTAGAACTGGTGGCTGGTAAATCAATTTCTTTAAGATTAGCTGCGCTTGGAGATCTTAATGGTGGAAAATTAATTGGCTCTAATTCACATATTTTGAGGGCATCAGAGTTTGTGGTGTTTAATAATTTTGCTTGTTTTGCCAACAATTCTGTAGTAAAATTAAATACAGAAGGTACAACATTTTCTTTCAGATCTAAACGATAAAGTCCATCAACATTTGATTTAAAGTCATCATATACAAAATGATCAGAGCAAACTTTACTAAACTTAGTAGCGGTGAAGTCTGTACGTCCAATTGCTAATAACCATTTGGCTACTCTCTTTGGGTCTTTTAAAGGAAACCTAAATGAAAAATATCAATTAGTTATTTGGTTAGATGGCTACATGTAATCTATACAAGAATTAGATTTTTAATTGACGATTGTTATTATTTGTATTATGACAGGTACTTACGAAAAAAAGTGGATTTTTCGGAAATCGACAGTTTTTCCTTGACGATTAGAGCAACCGTGTACACAACAAGAATAAACCATGATCACAAAATTAACACGAAAGTTATAAGTCAAAACTCGAAAGACTTTATTATATTCATATTTTTTAATAAATCGAAACTTGAAACCTGGAAGACCGTAGTCCGTACTCCGTAAACCACAACGATTTTGTCAGTTACCTATATCGTGTTATCACATAACAATGTAAGCATCACAGATGTGTATATTAAATAAATATATAAATAATATATTTATGTTTAATATACATATCTGTGGTAAGCATTGCAATTTAGGCAAATGGCGGACTGATTTCAAAGTTCTGTACAGTGCTTGGGGATAGTCGGTTATCTAGTTGTTTATATTTGTCTATGGCTGTGACCGTAACTGATATCTACAACTATTCATATCAACTGGATAACACCTGATAAGCAGCTACTGAAAACCGAATAATAAAATATATGGTCTTGACTTCGAGAATTTGAGAAATAAGTAATAATAAAAATTCGCAATTCAAATGCTTCACTGGCATTTACGCTTAAGAATTAAATTCATGTATCCAACATGGAAATCGATGACGAAGATGTTGTCGTAGACGTAAGTACTTGAATAATAAAATATTGCATACTATTTTCTTGTAACTCATTTAGATAACTAAATTGTAGGCCTTCTATGAATTCGATAACTACACTGGTTTGAAATTATCTTACATTATCCTGCACTGAGATAATGAACCATGTAAATAGTATGTTCCAAATATCTTGGTGCATTTTTTCACACCAGTTTAGCCTATTGAATTTTGAGTTTATGTTTGATCAATATTTCAGGGCACAGATTTACACAAGTATTTGAACACGGTTGGATACTCTGAATTTGAAGTTTCTAAACGAAAATCTGTTGAAAACCTTTATCCAACTGAAGTAAGTCTGAAACTACAATGCTAAAAAGTACACTATAGAATGAATAGCTTATAAATTATTTTATTTACATGCAAAGATATGGTTTCCTTTGATTAAGTCATATTATTTTAAAGTAAAACCCAGTGCCTAAATGTTACGAACTAAGAATTTTTTTTTTTAACAGGGACGAAAATGTTCAAGAAAAATAATAAGATCAACCCAAAATCAAAAGGTATGTAATCATTATTAAAATTTTGTAGAAACCTTTAAGTTTCAAAACCACATTCAATATATTTCCATAAAATAAGCAATAAATTCAAGACTTCTAGACAAGTATCTTTAAACCCATTCAATTATTTAACTCTAAATTTGCTAAAATAAAAACTTGAATCATTTTAGGATTTTGGATTGTGTGTAACATTAATCAAGATAATTATGGAGAGCCAACTTATTTTCAAAGAAGATACTTTATTTATTAAGGAATTTATTCCATCAGAACACATTAAATATCCTCTATTTCTTACAAAACGGAAAAGGTAAAAAATATAAGAATAAATCTCAAAAATGTATTAATCTAATTATCTATGTCTTAAAATATTAACCTAATTAATTTTTGTGTTTTTAATATTTAACCATAATATTATATTATTATGTAGGACAACCAATTTTGTTTTACTGTTAACAATCTTGCCGTAAAAATTCATTATGTTATGATAACAACATAAGACCTAATATTTTTGTTAGTATTTTTAATCTTCTATCCAATTTTAGACCAAATTTATGTTGTGTAAATAGCCCATCAATTATATTTCCAATAATGTTTATGATTTGTATTTTACAGTATTACTCTACTTATATTATGCGTATTCTGTGGTATTATGAATATTTTTTTTTCAAAATACTGGGACGAATGGACAACCGTCAGCATGTTCATTTTTTGGTTTGGTTGTGTGTTTATGAATGTACTGTATGACCTAAATCAAAATAGAACAATTAAAAATACTGCAATCAAAACTATTCGATCAATGGAAAAATTATCTCTGCTGATACAAAAGTCTACTCATTTTCTTCAAGAATGTAACAATCTTCATAATAGGTAATAACTTCATTAAATTTAAATAAAGAAATTTAACCCTGTAGGTTAAAACGGCTGTTAGTACTTGTTACCTATAGTTGCATTATCGGTTTTAAAACATTAACACTGGGAGATGTTCAAATAAAATGTGTCACTCAGAGATATTATGAAGTGGTTTAAAATAAAAAGTAATACGATAATCATAAGGTTGCGAATATCCCAGCTAAAGTAGAAAACAATATAAATGTTCAATAGTTTGGATTATTGCTTAGTAATCTTAAAACTTGAAAATCATGGTATGATTCCCGTGATCTTAAATTTTTTAGATTTAATTATTTTTTGAAAATTAAAAACCACAATTTCTTATACTGTAATAAAACGATTTTTTAACTTAAAAATGTATTTGCTTTATTTGTTACTTTTCAATAGGTATAATACATTGACTAGTATGAGGGTGGTCTAGGTTCATGGAGTTATTATTTTATTAAATTATTCAAGCCATGTAATTTTGCAGTGTTTATACTTATTTCTAAAAAGTTGTACTTGCAGGTTAAATACTAATAAATAGGAAAAAAAGTTGAAGGACCCTTAAAAAACTCAAACAATTTTGAAGATTCTAAGACTCGTCACACTCTCACGCAGACGAACTCTACTTCATTTGTCCATCTTCACTAAATTTTTATTTTTATTTATACTGATCTATACCGCAATACTCCCAATGAACTATTTCCTAGCAAAATTGGGCACACATAATACATATTATCAATGCGATATATATTTTCCTTTTTTCATTTGTCCACTGTAAATTATGTTTGTTCTGGATTTCTCTACATCATTTGAGTTTTGCTGTTTAAGCTTTCATTATTTTTACTTTGTGGCCAAAAATAACACATAGTATTTCTGTAATCCAAGTACCATAAACAATTGTATTTGTTTTATTTAGTTTTATAATATAATATATTATTTTTGTTTCAGTTGTTATCATACATATGCTGGTAAAAATCCCGATTCCTTCAAATACTTATTGATGCCAGAATTAAAATCTTTACTTATAACTATGTTACAAGATTTGATCAATAATCTTGTATATAACATATCTGATGTTCACACATTTTTCCCATTGAAAGATTCTGTTTCCAACATTGTTTATTTGTACCGCACAGACTGCCAAATTGATTTAAATAACACTTCAATTGAAAATATAAACGTAAGTATAGGTTGAATTAATAAATATTTGAATGTTTCAAATATATTCAGTTCGAATAATATATATGACAGAAAAAAATTAAGACTTATCTAAAAATAGACAAGCATTAAAATAATATTATTCCAATAAAAATTTTCGTTCACATCCAATCCCGTTTAAAACCTTTTGATATTTATAAAATATATTACACTCAAATATAATTATTTATTATATTATGTTTCAGAAAGCCAAGTATACTTATTTTTTATTGCAATCAGAATTTTTGAAACAATCAGCATTGTGTTTATGTCCATCATTATGGACTCCTCGCAGTTTTTTTCATGTGAATCGTCTAATTAAAACTATTGGTAAAATTGAAGAAGTGTATTCAAACTCATGTGATGTTCTTTATGATGAGTATAATGTTTATTCGATGTTTAAAAATAATACTAAAGAACACAGTAAGCAACCAGTTCAAGGAACAAACATAAATTCTGATCTGAAATTGAAGATATATAGTATTCGACAGTTTTTACAAAATATGATGGTGCATGTACGATTCATGGAAGACTCAATTGAAAACTCTTCAGCTTACAATATTGATGATATAAATAGTACATTGAATGTTTTAGTAAAAGAAGTCAGTGTTTTTAATGAACTTATTTCAACTTTACAAATTAACATTCTAAAAAGAAATAATAATCAAACAGATAAAACTATATTAACTAATGATACTACTGGAGTAACTGACCATATAGATACAGAGACCAATGAACCAATCAAAGAAGTCTGTGAAGATGAATTATTTTTTGGTGTATCTGAAGAATCTACTGAAAAAATGGACAATACATTTTGTAATGAAGTAATATTTGATAAGTCTAACAATCATAATTTAATGTTAGAACTGAAAGTGGCGCTTAAAGATAAACAAGCAGAATGGAAACAACGAGAATGCAAGTTGTTAGAAAAACATCCACAGTTAAATGACTTGTCTGATGACGATGAATGTAATGATACACAAGTCCAATACCTAAATAAAGTGCGTAAAGTAGCATTAGACTTGCCTCCCGATGAAAACTTTCCTATGCAATTGCCTGGTAAAAGCTTTGCTAGTGAAATAGCCATGGTTGCTTGTAAACGAAATACAACAATTGATTGTTTTGGAGATGATTCTGATTCAAATTCGAGTATATCAATAGACTCAAATGACTCTTAAGTAAAAAAATAAAATATTGATTCTTAAATTATTGTTTTTATTACCAACATTTTTTTTTCAGATTTTATTAAAACTATCAGTTTATTGCCAGATTATTGAAGACTAATTATGTTTTCAGTCTATGCAATATGATAAGTTCTGTTAATCCAATCAAAGTTGTACATGTAACATTATCTTGGTTTACAAAAACAACACGTTACATACATTGAAGGTATGTTTATACAGTTTTCCACCTATTATTTTTATCACTTCTAAAAATTGTATTGTATATATCAGGAACTCTTTAAAGATCTCCATTTTAATATGCTCTACAACCATTTGAAGCTATCAACAATTAACATTTATCACTGAAGATGTGGACGAGATTAATAACAATTCTATACAATTTTCAGCTTACTGGACAGATAAAATATAACTGCAAAAAAGACCAGACACTAAAAGAAAAAGAATTAATCACTAATTATTTGTATAAGTATTCAATATTAAGAACAGAACTTGTTATAATATCATCATTAAAAGTTTATGTATTAATTAATGGGTTCTGAAACCTTTATTTAAGATCAGTGACTGAAAAAATGCTGTTACAAACACTTTCCCAAAAGACTGGGCACTGGGATACGCATTTCTAACCATAATGTAACATTTTTTTGGATTCAAATAGCCAGGAGACCATTTAATGCACACCTGTACTAAAATCTTTGCATTCTATGAAGATTTTTTATCTTTGACAATTATATAAACAAATATAAATAAGTTGATCAATGTTGAATCTATCATATTCAAAAATTGTATGTAATTTAAAGAATAAAGATACACAAATATTCAGATATGACTTATGATTATAAATTTACCTATAATTCAATTTCAATTTTACACAATACAGTTTAATGTTATTCGTTAGAATTAAGTTAACAGATACGTTCAGATATGAACCCATAAGTTCATAAAATTTAATACATCTGTAATTATATTATTGTATATTATATATATTTTATTATTGTTATTAAAACCTGGTCAAAATCATGAATTAATGATCATTTATTATTTTTTCAATAAAATAATAGAAATAATAAAAATATATATATGTAGAATTTGCACACTAATGACAATAAACATCAATCCACCCTGTATTGGGAGCACAATAACAATACAAATATAAAACAAAAATATACTAAATAACTTTGACATTAATCAATATAATATATACAGTAAACTTAATAATGTAAAATGTATAAATTATGAATTTCAATTTATTTAAAATTAAAATAAACAATGGAAACAGCAAAATAATCAATAATAATAAATTATAATAATCTTAACTAGTAAAAAATAAATACGGTTTGCGGTACATGTATTATGTATATTATAGAAAGGTATGTCATCAATATGACAGAAAAATTATCACCTTTTTGTAGTCAAATGATTTGGAGCATCAGCAAATGTGAACTGCAATCTAAAGGCTTCAGCTACTAATAAGCTGATATCAGTGTCTGTCCAATTTTGTGTTTGCAAATTTTGTAACATAATCATAAGACCCTAAAAGAAATATCCTAATTAATAACACAGAATAAGACAATCATTAGACATTCTATTACCTGGAAATCTTTTTCTTCTAGTAATTCTTGTCGCCAATGCAACAAAAATGCAGCACATACATAAAGCTGAAAAGTAGCAAAACAATCAGACTGTGCGAGGTATGTATCCCATAACCTTATTGAACACCTCAGTGGTAATTCTCTCGTTAGTAAATTGTTCATCCATCTAAATGAAAATTGTAAGTAGTCGATTCCGTGTTTCATTAAATGTCCATGTAGTGTCCCTAAATAAATATAGAATAATAATTGATCTCATTAAATAAAATAAAATAAAATATCACTCACCATCAATTCTTTGAATTAGTTCTTTTAGCTGGTTAACTTTATACTGAATTCCAAGTTGGGCAAAAATATAATTGTCTTGAATACCATCCAAGAACTTTGACAAACACCAAAATGAATCAGCTTCTAGAGAGTCTCTGTTCTTTTTTGATATTGAGCTTACATCAAGTGTTTCAATATTTGTACCTTAAAATATTAGTAGATGATTATTATTTTGTTTTTTTATAAACTTCAAGTCAAACATAGGTAATATAAATAAAATAATAAAATATTATTTTGTAAGACTATTGTATCAATATTTAAAATAAGAATAGTGTATGGTTTGACAAAAATGTAATAATATTAATATACTAGTACCTATAGGAAGATATTCTTGCAAAAAGACAACATAAAAAGGTGTAACTAAATCATTCATGCCTTGAACATAACCAGATGCAGGATGTCTGATTGCCCAGATAAATAAGATTCGTTCAAACATTTCTTGCACAGTTGTTTGTTGGAAAAGAGGAGTACTCATACGTGGAATATCAATATGAATCTATAGATAATAAAAATACATAACCATAAATATACGTTTAAATAAAAATTTAAAAAATTTTCTAAATACGAACCTGTCTATAAGTATCTTTGTACACTTCATCTTTATCTGTATCATAATATTGTTTGACAAGATTTGCATAATCAATACGCTTTCGATCGAGAGCTTCTTGCCTACGTTCAGTGCTAGTTGGTAAATAACCCTACGAAATAAAATTATAAATCAAGGGATCATTTGCGTGATATTAAGATGTGAATTTAAATTAAATTTTGTTAATATACTTCTCAAATATTTTATGTACCTACTATAATTACAAAATACATAATTTAATCAATTTTTTGATCTAATAATATAATTTTTTTTAATAATTTTTGTTCGCTTGTATTGTATTTTACATTATATCAGGATCGTAAGAATCTTATCAATTGTAAAATAATTGATTTTATATGTAATGTAATATAAATATATTCTATACAGCAAAAAAATGTGCTTTGGCCTAACAAAAATTAGTTCTTTCTTCCTATGCGCAGTCGTTCTACCATGGCAGCGTATCACGTGTGGATGAGCAAAACTGACATATTCTCTTATTAGACAGAGTATAATTATTTGGATTGATCAAAATGTATTAGTCAATATATTTGATATCTAGTACAATAACTCAATAAACATTTTAAATTAACTTACTGCTAATAGTCTCCATGTCATAGGACGTACTTCTACAGGTACACCAGAAAAACTAAGTTTCTTTAAATCTTCTAAATTTAATAAGTTACTTTCAAGCAACACTTGGAATTTTGTTAATTTGTTTGTATCAACTTCAGAATCTTAAATAATAAAAATAATATAATACTCATTAAATAGTTTAAATGCTATTTATACTTTATTTCAAGACTTACTGGAAAAATTCACTCTATTCTCTGTGTTTCGAGATTCTTTATAAGTTTGTGAACTAGATTCTCCTTGCGCTACAAAAAATAAATATATTATAAATAAGTAAGTATATATACATTTATTATTATTATTATTATTATTATTATACGTTATAACTATACTATTTTAAAAACCGAAATTAAATGATAAATTATGTATTTGACAACAAATTCACAATATAAATTGTGAAATTAAAGATAATCCATAAATATCTCATATCCACCAATATGTAAAATTTACTTATAAATATTTTTCTAAAAAGACCAATTTTAGTAATTAACTAGCTTAATATGTGTCTAAAATTAAATGTATATTGCCATACATTTCAAAAAATGATACAAATTACAATAAAATTAAGTCATTTATTTAAGCCACCAAGCTAAAAAAAACCAACCTCGTTATGCTTGTTACACAACAATTGTATAGGCTGTATAAATTAAATTTAAATGAGGTAAGGTTATAGTTTGTTTATATCTGAATGATAATAAAATAAATTATGAGCATAGTTTTTTTTAAATAGTAGTAATACAATTATTTAATTTTATAAGTTTTATAATATGTCAAATATTATTTAAATCAATAGGTACTATAGGAATTCATCATTTTACGATACCGCCTGTTTACATAGTAAATTAACATAATACACATAGTTTGATGATAAAAAATAACATAAGTTACATGAAATGACAGAATAGAGAGACCTTCCAGTGGAAGGAATTTGTAATGCAACAATTATATTACATTCATGCATACATAACAGAAATACAGAATTACTTACACATATACAATTATAAAATATAAATGTTTAATTCTGGTATGTAGTTTGTACTTGAAATATAATTAACGAAAAATATTTTGTTTAATTTTATAAGAAAAAAACATAAAAATCAAGATTCAATTATTAATTATAAATTATACATTAATATTTGTTAGAGAAAAAATTTTAAATGTTAGGTGCCTATATACAATTTTAGCTAACCTTAGACTTTTCATCAGTGAAAGTAGATGCAAGACAAACTAATAGAAATGATAATAGTTGACTCAATATTTCCTAAAAAAGGGAAGATATAAAATTTCACTTCTTACTTGGAAACATTAATACTTAACTGATAACTTAAAAGGTGATCAATAATGTTTATTTAAGATGATTTTTGCTAAAATGCTCAAAGAAAATAAAATCTATAACTTCCTTGTATATAATAATTTTTTTCTTATACTATTTTTACAAAAAAATACTTATGATATTAGCTCTTACAGCCACATTTTTAATATTATGTTGAATGCATAGTAGCATAGCTATAAGGTACAATATGTGTTAACAAATAACCATGGTACATCACATTATATTTTACTGGAAAAAAGTACTTATAATAACCATGATTATGTACAAATAATTAACTAGGTATTCAAAAACAAATAGTGAGTCAGTTCTTTGTGTTATTGATTTAAAAGGAGCATTGACAAATTACAATGATAATTGGCACAAATACAACAAACAACACAATAAGACAGGAATTGAAAAAACATTAAGCCATATTTACAAATATAATAAAGATGAAATTCCTAGAACAATAAGACTTACGATCAGAGTTTGAGTAGTTTTTTGATTTATGAATTTCCTCAATCGAAGCCTTATGATTATTAATTACATTGACAGCAGCAGAATGGGCCACACGCTTTGAAATTTTCACGTCTGAAATTCAATGGGTTGAAAACACAAAATAAAACTAAAGGGTGAAGTAATAAACATTACTACTGGAAAACATATTAAGCAAGCAAAAAAATATGCATATAGTATTTATAACTACAATTGTATGAATAGTTTAAGTATCAAAATATAATCAATTTATAGTTATTGTCTAACATATTTTAATGTAATTTATGAGTAGCATGTAACTAAAAGTTAAAAAAAAATAATGTTATGTGAATTATTTGAAAGAAAATGATTATCTATTAACTACAAATAAAATAGATCTTATCATTTTGAGAAAATGGTTTGTGTTGATATGTATATTTGACTATTATTCCTAGGTTGGTGTACATGCATTCCGTCCGATTTAGGACAATGCATTAAAACTATCTGCATTAAATATCTAAGTACTCTATATTTTTATTGAATCCCTCAATTAATTCAACAATGGTACCTATAATTGTCAAAAAATAAATTTAGTTCATTTAAATTATTTATGAAACCAATAAGAAATAAGTTTAAAAAAATTCTATCTATTTTTATGCCACACGTTCAGGCATTTCTATTGTGAAACACCTACATATTGTTCTTTATTCAACATTATTCCACTTATTTACTTATTGTACATGCTATATGGATTGTAAATGTTCATCAAACAAATTAATTTCAAAAATTATAAAATCTATTTGTAATAACTAATAATTTCAATAATAACTTTTAAGTTATTAGTTATTTTTATAGACTAAGTGTTACTACTAACCATTGATTATTATTTTTTCAATATTATGTTTGTTTTTTATACTTCAAAAATAGTTTGTGTATAACTTTTTAAAATTATTTCTGTGATTATTATTATTTTTCAATTATATATCCACATAAAACAAATATTCCATTTATAAATTATAATGAAGGTATACAATATACATCCATACATCCATACATGGAATTTAGGTACCTATCTGTTTGCTGTGTTTTTTTCCTTTTATCTGTAATATTATTAAATCAGTGAGGCTGGCCGGTAGTATTATTCTTTATAAGTAAAATTAAATACAATGTAAAAATGACTATATTAGAAGATTATTGAAATTGAAAATTATATAAAAACTGTGTATCACAAGGTAACAAAAATTGAATGATTGTACATAAAAATTACACTCACATAATATGTCAAATATTCATAATACAAACAGTATACTAAGTAAAGAAATAAATTATTATAAATTTAAGCTTTAATTTAAACTTAAAAACCATAAAAATTTTTTAAAAAAAATTAATCAAATAAATATAAACCATACTCTATATATATAGAGTACTTACATACTGTATATCATACCATATTAATTATAATTAAATTTTAAAAAACATTGCTTTTAATTTTACAAATCATAATATTATGTTTTTGATCGACTTTAAATGGGAATAGTAAATAATATAGGCATTACAGATATGATATTAAACAAATTATTAAATCGGTTTTCATGGGCAACCGTTTAAACAGCAATCAAATCACTCCATTAACAGGTCCATATTGCCTGGCCACCAAGCATTCGGGCAGGTGCATGGTCATGTCATGTTCCATAAAAATTACAATGTTATGTCTACATTTAGATTTTGAGGAAATATTGTTCTCGATAATTACTCAATAAAAACTCGACAGGGTTAATATGCTACTGAAAAATGTACCTATGTCAGGTATTTTATTTATCAAGAGTTAGCTGTAAATATGGGTGGGGCATGGACAGTATTTCGATTAAATGTAGTTGAAATACTAACATAAAAATTGTTTCTTGTACTTTATATTTGAAATATATTTATAAAGCATTCTGTCTTATGAAAATATTTAAAATAGAAAATAAAAACAAATAATTGTAAATAAAATGTAATATTAATGTTTCAAATTTGTTAAGTAACGAAATGATAACCAAAACTTCCAAAACTTCTACTTCGTGCGGTATTTTGGTGTCCACTTGAAGTAAACAACTGTTTTTCTAAGTGTTTCCATTTTTAATTTAAAATTAGTTGGTAAACCAACTTATATAAAAAAAAACCTAATGTATATGTGTTATGTAGAATATTGGTAGATTTGAAGATATACCTACAAAAACAGAAAAATACAAAGAACTACATATTACTTTACCAATAACCACACCAACTCCTAAGAGAAATGATTACACAATCTCAAAATGAATTAGAATCAATAAAGTATTTAAATGATAAAAACAAAAATTTGTCTTTATTCTATAAAACTTCCCTACAATCTGTTAGTTGTTAATATATTTTGAGTATTAAAATTTAAATATATAAAATTATATATTTTTCCCAACCATGGTTATGCATATAATTATTATAAATATACAATTTTACCTACAAATTCTCATACTGTTAATAAATAACACAATATTATTAATATCTATTATATTTTCTGTTAAATATATAGATGTAGATATAGCCGATTCCTAAGTATAACCCCACATACCCATGGAATTAATACAAAGACTGACAAGGTATCCAGTATAACAGAAAACCATCAACTTTATCTACTCAGTATTTCATGTATACAATTCTCATCTGTAAATTGTAATGCCTGTATTAGTTTTATTATAATATAATATTTATATTAATATAATATTTAATAATATAAATTAGTAAATATTAATATTTTGTTATTATAAAAGCATATATTAATTATCATTCAGTAATCGTACTCAACAACTATATTGAGTTTTAATGTAATTATTTTTAGTCGGAAAAGCTAAACTAATTAAGATTCTTAACCATGAATCTCACTAAGGTGAATTCAAATTTATTTTTTATTATACTTTATTAGTTGTAGCATATTAGAAAAGGAAATTAATATTTATTATTTTATTTTATTAATCCAAATCAATGTTTGTAGGGGGAAACGGTTGGTTTGAAACACGTATTGTATGTGCGGCAAGGATCCTGTGGCTCAAAATACCGGGTGGTCATCCATTCGGGAGCTAGCAATGCTAGCCGATGTATACACTCAGAGAGCGTATGCAACTGAGTGTAGACACCAGGCCACACAAAGCCACAAATATTATTTATAAAACTTGTTTACAATATTTAAAGTAAGTTTGAAGTTATTTTGTAAAATATAAAAATGTATACATATTATTATGTTTGTGTGTCTATCGCTTTCAAAAGATTATAACATAATATCATCTAATTCATTATTTAAATAAATAATATCAATTTTAATAGTACAATATAGATATCGTTTAAATTACAGACATTAATTTACTAAAAGATACAATTCTTAAGACCATGCACAAATACACTTATATTTTACTATGTTATATGAATAGTTGTAGTCAATAGGTACTTTATAGACAGTGACTATTATTAAACAAACCGTTTTTTAAGCGATTTGTGAACTAAAAAAAAAAGTTTAAGAAACTTTGAGCTAATTATTAATAACTATATTTGTTACTAAAATAAAATAAAATTAGTGTACTATTATGACTAAATAATGAAAAAGATTGATCCTAGTAAAAATGGAATATTGTAGCATGGGAAAAATTTTTTTTTTTTCAGCAACCGCTTTACAACAACCAGTACGGGTTAATCCACAAGACCACAAGTACTTAATAACATAGTTGTTTAATCAATAATCAAAGTTCATAAATGTAAAATATCATTTAATTAGATGTCATACTTTACAAATAATTGAATATAACAAATTATTATTACACAAACATTACTAACATATAACATGCAGCGCCGGATAGGCAAGGTATCGGCCTACCGAGTTTCACAATTATAACCGGCCCTAAAAAAGTTAATGTCACGTTTTTCAATAAGTTAAAGTCATTAATGGCTATCCATATTTTAATAATAACATCATATATCATACAATATAAATTATACATATTATATTAAGCAGTTGACATAGATAAATAATGAATATTCCAAGACGGCCCACCGAGTTCAACTCGGTAACTCGCCGGCTCTATCCGGGCCTGATAACATGGCAAATTTAACAAACAGAAGAATCTATTTTCTATGTTATTTTTTTATATTAGAGTAAAATGGACTGTTATAAAATGTAAAGATGAGGAGAACATCTAGGACACCTCATAAGTTTTATTTGATATTTAATTTTGAGGCAAGTCATGAGCATTTTAAAACGGTACATTAGCCATGGTATGCGTTAGAAAGATGTAGACAATTCACACAGGTTTTTACACAATGTATTATTGACTTACGTAATACATGTATCATATTATTAATACTAAACATATTGTTTTAGGTATCATTTTTTTAAATTAAGTTTTCTCTCTAAATATATAACAAACTTCAGTCTAAACTAATTTTTTCGATGCCTCAATGCTATTATATTTAAAATTATAATATAACAATAGCTGCCTTGGGTTAAAACTAATGAAGCAAGGCAAGTTTTCAAAACCTAGAATTTTTCTACAATACCATACATATGTTTTGTTCAATAATATTATAGCTCAAAAAGTATTTTTAATTACAAAACTATAGAAACATACATCATGCAGCATCGGGAAAAAACATTTTTTTTTTTCATGTATAATGTACACATAATAAATCAGTTATGAAACATAATTGTATGTTATGTTAATAACTTATTTATGGGGACTACAATTATAATATTACCTGATATACCTAATAAATAATCATTATTTAAGTTCAAACACAAAGTATAATTGTAAAAAAAATTATTATTTGTTATAAACAATAACCAAATGTCTATTAGTCAATGACATTGTTTTATGTACTATACAAATTATAAAATCTAACAAAAAAACTTGTGTTCAAAATATTAAATAGATTTATGAAACACAGACAAATAAATGGGAAAGATTTTCATAATAATATAGGTAGGCACCAAAATTAAGAAAGTATATACGGAAGATTTTAGTTTAAGTTAAGTTATAATTTTATTTTATACATTTTACCTGAAATGTATTAATAATTAGAATATTACTAGATAAATCAAAAATTAGGTGTATAATTTTTTTGCAGAATGAGCATCAAAAAAAATATTTAAAAACTTGTTTGTGACCTCACACTCGTATAACTGGACATAACATACACAAGACAAAAACTAACTACAGGCTACTCGAACTGTGTTGTCTGAATTTTATTATAATCATTTATCATATTTAAAATTTTATTTTTTAAGAACAATAATAGGAAAAAATGAAATTAGGAACTGTTTGTTAGGATCTTTAAGTCAGGAGCAACAACTGAACTCAATTCTTTTTTGAAGAAACTTTCCATGCATTGTATTTTAGAACCTATAAAAATGTTTTCCATTTGTACTATTGTCAAAATAAATTTATTTATTATGTACAGGCAAAAGTGTATATTATTTAGATTTTCATAAGTCCAAGACATTGCAATATTAATATTTGAAATCATAGGTTCTTTACCTGATATACGTAGTATTTCATCCTCAGCTTCAATTTCCCATGCATCACTGACACTTTCTTGGAAATCATCAAACGAAGTCGAAGCTGAAGAAGATACAGATTTGCTTTCTTTCTTAGGACTTGCTCTGTAATTCAAATTATGCTTACTTATAAATATTTTATTAAAAAAGAAAATGTTAAGACAATAATTATTACACATAAGTCAAATAAAACACATTACCTTCCAGGAAGATTTCTAATGTTTTTTTTCCAAAACGAATTCTTGAGGTTCATGTCATTGTCATTGACATATTTTTGAACGTGATCACCCATTTTTCCAATATCTAAATGCATTAATGTAACAACGTTAAAATAGTCTTTGGAGCACATTGAAAAAAGTCATATAGATATGTGTAGGTAGAGAATAATGAACATTGTGCATTTGTGCGTTATAACCACTTTTGAAATGGACTGCACCGGGCGTATTCCCGCAGTAGCCGTGAGCATGTACACTGTACAGTAGGTACCTCAGTGCACAACCTCTGGGGCTTGATAGTCACCAATCGAGAGCCTGTGGCCTTTGCGGTCTACTACCTAGCGTTGCCCGAAGTCTGTACACAGAACGGATGAAGTCTACATTTCTTTCACCTATTACATTGTCGTTATGTACTCGGGCGCACAGACACTCACCTAAATCTAACATTGCTCGATTCACGAGCGCCAAGATAGACGGACGCGACAAGCACGAGGGTGGGACTCTGGTCGTGACGGGCTCATGTTGCAGTCGTCCTCGAACGCAGCGACGGCAATGTGGGCAGTGCGAGAATACGCGGTACTTCGCACGGACGGCGTAAAGGCCGAGCGTGAAACGGCGATTAAAACGTAAACGGACAGGGGCAACGTTCGCGTTATCGTTTGGCAGCGGGGTAAGTGTTACTTGTGAGTACCGAGTTGCGAGTTTGCGACTAGCGAGCGATTAACGGTACACTGCCACACTGGCCGTGGGTACGTATTGTCGTCGTAGTCGCCCCGTCGCCGTGAGTGATACGCCGTGACGTCACTATCTCGACGGAACGCCGCACTCGCTATCATCTGACACACAATATAATGTAGTCGGAGCGATGGGAAGGTCGCATCGTCGCATCGTTCGACGACTTGGCCCACCGGCTGCTGCGGTACGGGTCGACGGCCTGGGCCTCCATGCATACGTGACGTCACTTTTCCCCGCCGACCGACTAACTGGCGGCCGCATACCAGCCGAGACCTTTTTTGATTCACTTTTTCGAGGCGCCTGATAAAAAGTCGTTATTTAATAACGACTGTGATTATCAGTGATCGTCTCATCGAGTGTCGACGAAATTTATAAATAATTCGTTAATAATGAACTTTTGGATGCCAAGCGGATGATGGGGATTTTCTGCGTATTGCTACTGTATAACATTGTACAGTGTTTCATTTTTACAACACTATTTTTTTTATAAAATTACAAAGGACATGGAGTATCGTCAGAATTTCAACTTTGATGGTCAATCTTCTTAAGTTTTAATACCACGTGTAATAAGCATACGAAAAACAAAAACAGATATGTAAAGAAAAAAAACGTTTAGAACGTAAAATACAAAAAGTGGGTGGAAGGCTGTATAGTAGCCAGTAGGGGTCATAGTTGTCGCGGTCCTTTCCAAAATCCGTATTTAAAAAAATTGTATATTGTTGAAAACAAAATTTTGCATTCAAATCTGGGCCTAGTAATGATAATAATGTTGGTCAGTATAAGACAAAGTAAGCCCTCGCTTGCAGAAATTGTTGGAAAAATAATAAATGACTAAATATTTTATGATAATTTAAATATCTAATAGTCAGTCAGTTATGAAAAAAAAGTCAGTCAGTTTGCTTACGGATAATATAAATATAAATCTCTGAAAAATATTCAACTCATCACTTTATAGTAATATTAATATAGACTAAGATTTAGCCCCCCCCCCAAAAAAAAAAAAATTTATATATATAATATATTCTTTATTGATTTCAAATAATACATGTCAAATTGTATTTTGTGTCTTGGAAAAAAAAAATATAGAGTAGATAAATATATCTAATATATAATATAGAGTAGAATAATAAATAAGGATACTTTTCCAAATTCATATAAAAAACTCCTGGATGTTGCATTTACTTTGCCAATAAGTAGAGTGCAACTTGTGAAGTCATTTTCTCCGATGAGGCGAGTCAAAACATGGTTACGGTCAACTATGATTTAGGAAAGGATTACAAATTTATCAATTATTAATATCGAGGGAGACATTTCAAACGATATTAACAGAGACGACATTTTAAATAAGTTTGCAAATGCTAACGATAGAAAAATACCGTTAATATATTAAAATGTTATATACCTACTATAAAGTTAACTTGTTTTCTTTTTTCTTACTCTCATATACCAGGTAAACAAATTTAGTTATTGTAGTAGGTAATACATTTTTTGGGAACTATTAACTATTAAGTTACTAGTGGTTGGTGTATAAGATGTTGAGTAGAGTACCATTTTTATGAGTGGCTTACATTTGCTTACGAGTCACGATAGAGTCATAAACATAAAATAAAACAAATTGTTGTAAATCCAATAGGATCTTCTCTTGGTTCAGAATCTAAAATATTATGTTGCGATTTTATGTAGAGGGGGATGGCCCCCCTACCAGAATTTTAACCCTAGTTGAGCCTATGTTCTATAAGCGAGAATTAATTTTTGTCTTACACTGACCAAAAATATTTGTATCATTATTATTTTTTTATATATTTTTTTACGTATTATTATATTGGTTGGGTATAGCTTTGGGAATATTTCTTACAGAGGTTTTTTTCCTGTGGTTTTTTTCAAAGATTTCTTACACGGATATTTTTTTCCTAGATAAACTATATGGAGGTATATATGTGTTAAATTTTAAATTCAATGATACGTGATATTACGTGAATCGCTGCATAGGTATTATGAAAACTATTCTTAGCGAAAACAGCACTAAAAAGTAATAATCTTATGGTATGATTATATATGATTTTAAAAAAATCTGTCTTTTTTTTTCTATTATTAATGAGGTAAGTTGAATTATGAAAATCACCAAAACCATTGCATTTGAAGATGTTAATGTGTGAACTAATTATAAATAATAATAATATATACTTATAGGTACCGACAGCGAACAACCTATAAAAAAATAACTAAAACTGTTATGTTTCGTTAAAATATCTAATTTAAATGGTAGTTGAGAACTATAAATAAAATTTTCTAAAAGTGATTGAGACTTTTGTTAACAGCATGAACTACTTATGAAGAACATTGCATTCAAATTTAAGTCCTTAGCTATAAAATTGAAAATTGCATACATTTTTAACTACCAAGTAGGTAATTTGGATATCCTTGTGATTGACAATTTTGTCAACATTTTAACTTCAAATCAAGGATTGAAACCAAAACTTTTTCCAATTTCAGTTTCGGTACCTGATATTGGTATTTATTTTATTCGATTTTGATTTCAATATAAGATATCGGTATTTATTTTTTCTGATTTTGTTTTCGGTTTTGAATATCTGCAGTTTTTATTTTTTAAGATTTTAATTTTAGTTTTGATTACCTATATTAATTTTTTTCGATTTCACTTTCAGTTTCAATATTGATTTCGGGTCTTAACCAGTATTTAAAATCGGCAAAAAATAAATCATTTAAATTTAATGTTTGAATTTTTTTTTTTTTGAATTTTTCAATTCACTATAATATTTAATTTATGTTCTTAACTTAAAGTTTTATAATAGGTTGATTCGTTCTAATATTAAAAGTACTAACACAGGGTTGGTTCTTCTAAACTTAAATTTGCTATTTGGGTCAGAGAGAGAGAATACAAATTGTGAGCTGACATCCTCTTTAGTATCCTGGCGACGTCTCATCCAACTACATCAGCAGTAGTTGCAACTCACAACTCAACCATTACTATTCATTAATAGGATGAAACAACTTCATGATCTTTACCTAATAATTAATCGTATTGCGTCAATGCGAAGTTTTTCTTGAGGATATCATATAGTGCCACTCTAACTATATAGTAACTACTGATGCCACTTATATATTTTAGTCAATTGACAATTTATTCACGATATTAATTTTAGATACCAGGGTCTAGAATAGATCAATGGAACAATATTTCACACCCTTATATATAATAACCTATTGTTGTAGTTTTGGTGTTTGCATAAATTACCAATCAGATATATTTGTTAATAATACATGTCATATCAGTTTTTCTATGCATCAGAATAAAAGGAAAAGTGAAAACTATTAGATCACACAACTTTGAAATTTGTTTATTTTCGTTAATAGAAATTTTTAATTAATGCACAAATCGAACATGTTCAGCAGTGGCGACGCAAACTTTTTGAGTCCTTAAAGCAAATTGTACATTTTTAATATTTTTTACCACCAACTATTGCCTTTTATTACACCACAGTGATATTTGTTACGACAATTATTGTATATATTAGTCACGAAGCGATTGTTTCAAATAGTCCTTTATCGGCTTTATCCCGCCACCATTGGCATGCTGTAAATTGTAATATTTTAATTAGTAACTTACCGTGTCCAATCCTAGTATGGTTATTATTATAGTTGGCAACAAGTCACAAGATGTAAATATCAATGAAGTACCTAAGAAGTAAGAACTACCTATGAAATAATATCTAAGGATAAAAGCTCAGAGGCAAGCTGTTTGCTGGTACCTAGGTAGTGCATTGTAATTTGTAACTTGTAAGTGATGTGATGTTTCGTTACTTATCCCTGGTGGGGTTAGGTAATAATTGATAGGTATACGGTCAGTGTCGGCGCTATAATTATTCGAAACAAGAGCGAAACAATATCTTTGCATCTCCCCCTCAAAAATAATCAATTACAATTTTGTTGAGGCACCCTGGTCGCCCACTCCTAACACCCGCCCTGTTATATACAGTCTTCTGTAAAATTTAAAGCACAGAAATACAGAATATTATGGTAATATGCAGTACAGTCATTAGCACGGTCCGGTCACGGGGTGAGTACAAAAATGAATAATTAGAGTAGGGACAGTAGGGTTTACTTTACATTATCAAATGTACTCCGAATAACCGAACGATATAATAAATTATGTATTCTTATCAATATTTTTGTATAGCTGCTGTTGTATTATAGTGTTGTTGTTGTTGTTGTATGGTCATTGGCACGATTGCACGAATTCGAAGATTTATTCATAATACAGACATATGTTGGCCGTGGGCCGTCGCACAAATGCACAATTTTAGAAATTATATCGTAGTCAGTAGTCACTGTATTATATATAGTATATATTGTTCTATGACTGTATAGAATATAGAAACCTGTGAATTATCAACTACCTATAGTGATAACTATAAACGAATACATAATATAATATATTAATGCGTCCGAGATGATAACAATAAAATTAAATATTGATAACAATCTTTTCATTAACAATTATTTACAATACTTATTATAATTTTAATCATGATAGAAATATTATGGCCGTGTACATTAGAATTTAGAAGTATTTTTTTTAGTTTTCAAAAGATGTTGTAATTTCAGTGTATTTTTATTAATATTTGGTTGATAACAGCTTTAAAAGTTAGCTTTGAAACTATAGGTAATTTTAGAAGTCATATTAGCTTGTATTTCGTTTACTTTTCATTGAATCATTATTCATTAGTTTTGTTGTATTTAGTATATTTAGGGCGTTCTTAAAATGTTAGTTAAGTGTCGGTTAAAGTTAATAACAAGTTGATTACAGATTTTATTACCGGCAGAATTCCCCCGGTTAAGTGTCTGCTGACTTGAACCGGACATTGTAGAAATGGCCCTTAGTATAATTATTTTTATTGTTTAATGTTAACAGATTTAAAACATGATTCTCGCTTTTGTGGAATACTATATTACATGCAATAACATTGAGATTCTATAATAATTTTGTGATACCCATATTATTATCAATATTGTTT